CCTCACCCTCCTGAAACTTCCTAACCAAATCGCCTGCAACGGAGCGCTGATCAGTGGTATAGAAGCTCAACATCGACAAATGCTGTTTTCCGTTATGTCCTTCCGGCGTGCCAACATACCGTTTGCCTTCATCGACGTTCCTTCTACCCCACCAGGACACCGAGTAAATCGCTATCGAAGCTGAAGTACGTGTCTGCTAGAAATCTTGATCGCCTACTAGGCAAAGGCATTTCCCCTAAAGCCATTTGTATCATTGCTACGTGAGCAATACCGATGGCTACGCGGTCGGAGTGGAGCTCACAACGATTGATTCAGTACAAGATCGTGCGAAAGAGATCATCATCCTACTACAACCCAAACGGATGTCGATCTGGGCTCTGCAGAATTCTTCGACTATTATCGTCGCATGAATGTTGCCATCTCGCGATGTCGCCAAGGCCAGTTCATTCTCAGCCACACCCGCCAACTTAGAAAAGTACCTAGTACTTAGTAAAGTAAAGTACTTAGTAAAGTAGAGTAACTATTTTGGAATACGGTATTAATTGGTCGTCATCCATCGACGCGGAACTCGGCCGATATCTCTAAGCATTTAGCCAATCCAATGGTAAGCTTCCATTGCATTATTTCGTTCCCTTCTTCTTTTGAAGTCCGGGACAGGCTTGAAGGAAAGGGGGGATAAGAGCAGCACTCTTTGCGGGCGCCACCTAAATCTAAGTAGCTGGCTGCGCGGGCGGTTCGCGTCGCGGCAGATCCATTAGTGGCATCGGAATCCATTGGAATCTGTATGAACACTTTGGAACGTCTTCCACTATAGTGAGGAGTCTAATCATCTTATTTTCAGTGGATCAGAGAACTTAGCTTTTGTAGCTTCAATAAGTGCCAATCCGTTTCCAGAGAATAGCACCGACGATGAGGAAGAAGAAAATGTTTCACCATCCCCTATGAGATTGAATAGAGTTTTTAAGATAACATGTGGTATATAAAATCAAATTCACTCTCTTGATTCAAGCGATTTCTCCGAAAGTGGCTTTTTGCTGGATTGCATAAAGATATAGTAAGGGCCCAAAATCTGGAAAACCCTTGTAAAATACCACATCTTGCCCAAATACTACGGCGCTTTTTGCTTAAGCATAATCAGGGAAGAACTCTTCGCTTGTGGCCCAAAAACGAAAGGTAGAGAGAAAGGAGTGCCTAACACGCAAAGTTGAAAGTTTGTTGTCTTCCGCGTACCTCCCGCTAAAACAATACCACTCAGCCGCCTCCAAACGTAGGATACTGGAATAGCAGTTAAGACCTGGGAACAGATGCATAAATAATATCAATTCTGTACTTGTGCAATAATTGGTTTTAATAAAAATTGCAGGAAAAAAACTCATATTTTAGAGCTGAGAGTACCTGAGAATGAATTCAA